GGGGGGGGGGAGTGTATAGCAATAAAGACACTACAGCTACAATATCACACCTAAATACTAGTAACAGACGATACAGAATGGACCCGCTCGGCCTTTGTTTTCGGGTCCCAGAAATCATAGCACCTTTAAAAGGGGATTAATAACAGGCGGGGGTCCATGGATCACAATCCTTTCAGGGGACGTCAAAAAGGGTGGATTGCTGACATCTGACCACCACAAGGGTTAAATCAGTTCTGACCTTTGGCATAAGGCCTGGTTCAAACCTGTACGTTTTGTAGCGCGTTCAACGCTCTACGAAAGCTCTACAAAACGCTCAAACACGCAAATCCCATTGTTTTCTATGGGTCTGGTTCCCACCTTGCCGTATTTCAGCCCGTCTGAACGCGCTACAAAACGGCCCACGCCTGAAAAGGTACATGAGCTTCTTTGCGGCGTTTTTGTTTGCGCGTTTCCATTGGGATACAGCCAAGTAGCCCTCGGAAACGCGCGTTTTTTTACCGCAAATCGCGGTAAAAACGTGCGTCACGAAACGCGCGACAAAAGCGCATATTCGATACGCCTAGGTTGAACCGAGCCTTAGGAGCACGCTCTTCTTTGAGGAAAGGGGGGATCACTTTGAAACAAAGTAGCACGCAGGAAATTCAAGGTATCGGCCTTCAGATGACAGCAATCCCTACTTCTTGTGCTGGTTACCAAAAAGAAAGTCTTATTGGCTGTCGTGGGCAACTTTCTGCTCCACTGCGCTACTTTTAATTGATGTCCCCCGCTCTCTAAAGGGCAAAACAATTCCGTGAAAATAGATCTACCGTAAAACCCAAACAGGGCGGGATTAAAGGATCCCTTCGGGGGGCACACACGGGGACAATCAGAAAATCTGCCCTGTGGGGGGCTGAATTACGTTTACAGAAACCTACCAGATCCTTGCTTGGCACCTATCTGATTTAATCGCTACACCTGTAAACATTCTCACTTCCTGTTTCCGTGACACTGTTTCACAGGGAGGAAGTTTGTCCAGATTAAGGCTGGCAGGGAGAACATGGTGAGCTAATACAGGAAGGAGATCGATGGGACGGCAATAAGGCACTCAGCAACGGCAAAAGGAATGAATCGTTCTACAATGGATTGCAGAGGCAATAGCTACCTTGCTGCCGGTTTAATGGAGGACGGCACTTGCAACATTTTCCCATGTTCACCCGCGGCTGGGTAAAGGCACGGTTAAGGTGTTATCACAACACAATCCTTTCAGGGGACGTCAAAAAGGGTGGATTGCTGACATCTGACCACCACAAGGGTTAAATCAGTTCTGACCTTTGGCATAAGGCCTGGTTCAAACCTGTACGTTTTGTAGCGCGTTCAACGCTCTACGAAAGCTCTACAAAACGCTCAAACACGCAAATCCCATTGTTTTCTATGGGTCTGGTTCCCACCTTGCCGTATTTCAGCCCGTCTGAACGCGCTACAAAACGGCCCACGCCTGAAAAGGTACATGAGCTTCTTTGCGGCGTTTTTGTTTGCGCGTTTCCATTGGGATACAGCCAAGTAGCCCTCGGAAACGCGCGTTTTTTTACCGCAAATCGCGGTAAAAACGTGCGTCACGAAACGCGCGACAAAAGCGCATATTCGATACGCCTAGGTTGAACCGAGCCTTAGGAGCACGCTCTTCTTTGAGGAAAGGGGGGATCACTTTGAAACAAAGTAGCACGCAGGAAATTCAAGGTATCGGCCTTCAGATGACAGCAATCCCTACTTCTTGTGCTGGTTACCAAAAAGAAAGTCTTATTGGCTGTCGTGGGCAACTTTCTGCTCCACTGCGCTACTTTTAATTGATGTCCCCCGCTCTCTAAAGGGCAAAACAATTCCGTGAAAATAGATCTACCGTAAAACCCAAACAGGGCGGGATTAAAGGATCCCTTCGGGGGGCACACACGGGGACAATCAGAAAATCTGCCCTGTGGGGGGCTGAATTACGTTTACAGAAACCTACCAGATCCTTGCTTGGCACCTATCTGATTTAATCGCTACACCTGTAAACATTCTCACTTCCTGTTTCCGTGACACTGTTTCACAGGGAGGAAGTTTGTCCAGATTAAGGCTGGCAGGGAGAACATGGTGAGCTAATACAGGAAGGAGATCGATGGGACGGCAATAAGGCACTCAGCAACGGCAAAAGGAATGAATCGTTCTACAATGGATTGCAGAGGCAATAGCTACCTTGCTGCCGGTTTAATGGAGGACGGCACTTGCAACATTTTCCCATGTTCACCCGCGGCTGGGTAAAGGCACGGTTAAGGTGTTATCACAGGCCGAGTGCCTTATTGCCACCCAGTTTGGGGGGGGGGGGGGGGAGGGGGGGAAGGGGGGGGGGGGAGGAAGCGTGGGAAAGCGAGATGCGTGGAATGGTAAAGTAATTGGATAGTTTTTGGCGGGGGCTCCTAAGCAGAAGCCCACTCCCCTCGTTTTTGCACCTATGCCCTACAAAGATTGATTTGTCATCAACAGCTAAAAATCAGATTCTCCTGTCCGGCACCCTATAGACTAATTAATGGAGAGGTGGGCGGCACGGAGCCCTGCCAGCGCAGGGGATCTGCAGTCTCTTCAGATGTCTTTGCTGCTGGCTTGCTTGGATTTCTCAACCGTCTCCTGTGCAGACAAAAACACAAATTGGTTGGTATACAAAACGCATTGCTAAAGCAGCAGAACAGCCTGCGTCAATGGGCTTTTGTTCACGTTATACGGGTTTTGCATTTCTATGCAAGTCTATGTTATACTTACAAACATTATATTGTTGGATCCTGAGATGCTGTTAACCCCCCCATATTTCATGCACCCACTTTTCCTGAAGGCCTGCCCAGATCATGACCACTTTATGGGTTGGTCTATCCCATACCCTGGCTCTAAGTATGCAGGGAGCACCCATTACATCCACTTTATAGGTTGGTCTATCTCATACCCTGGCTCTAAGTATGCAGGGGAGCACCCATTACATCCACTTTATGGGTCGGTCTATCCCATACCCTGGCTCTAAGTATGCAGGGAGCACCCATTACATCCACTTTATAGGTTGGTCTATCTCATACCCTGGCTCTAAGTATGCAGGGGAGCACCCATTACATCCACTTTATGGGTCGGTCTATCCCATACCCTGGCTCTAAGTATGCAGGGAGCACCCATTACATCCACTTTATAGGTTGGTCTATCTCATACCCTGGCTCTAAGTATGCAGGGGAGCACCCATTACATCCACTTTATGGGTCGGTCTATCCCATACCCTGGCTCTAAGTATGCAGGGAGCACCCATTACATCCACTTTATAGGTTGGTCTATCTCATACCCTGGCTCTAAGTATGCAGGGGAGCACCCATTACATCCACTTTATGGGTCGGTCTATCCCATACCCTGGCTCTAAGTATGCAGGGAGCACCCATTACATCCACTTTATAGGTTGGTCTATCTCATACCCTGGCTCTAAGTATGCAGGGGAGCACCCATTACATCCACTTTATGGGTCGGTCTATCCCATACCCTGGCTCTAAGTATGCAGGGAGCACCCATTACATCCACTTTATAGGTTGGTCTATCTCATACCCTGGCTCTAAGTATGCAGGGGAGCACCCATTACATCCACTTTATGGGTCGGTCTATCCCATACCCTGGCTCTAAGTATGCAGGGAGCACCCATTACATCCACTTTATAGGTTGGTCTATCTCATACCCTGGCTCTAAGTATGCAGGGGAGCACCCATTACATCCACTTTATGGGTCGGTCTATCCCATACCCTGGCTCTAAGTATGCAGGGAGCACCCATTACATCCACTTTATAGGTTGGTCTATCTCATACCCTGGCTCTAAGTATGCAGGGGAGCACCCATTACATCCACTTTATGGGTCGGTCTATCCCATACCCTGGCTCTAAGTATGCAGGGAGCACCCATTACATCCACTTTATAGGTTGGTCTATCTCATACCCTGGCTCTAAGTATGCAGGGGAGCACCCATTACATCCACTTTATGGGTCGGTCTATCCCATACCCTGGCTCTAAGTATGCAGGGAGCACCCATTACATCCACTTTATAGGTTGGTCTATCTCATACCCTGGCTCTAAGTATGCAGGGGAGCACCCATTACATCCACTTTATGGGTCGGTCTATCCCATACCCTGGCTCTAAGTATGCAGGGAGCACCCATTACATCCACTTTATAGGTTGGTCTATCTCATACCCTGGCTCTAAGTATGCAGGGGAGCACCCATTACATCCACTTTATGGGTCGGTCTATCCCATACCCTGGCTCTAAGTATGCAGGGAGCACCCATTACATCCACTTTATAGGTTGGTCTATCTCATACCCTGGCTCTAAGTATGCAGGGGAGCACCCATTACATCCACTTTATGGGTCGGTCTATCCCATACCCTGGCTCTAAGTATGCAGGGAGCACCCATTACATCCACTTTATAGGTTGGTCTATCTCATACCCTGGCTCTAAGTATGCAGGGGAGCACCCATTACATCCACTTTATGGGTCGGTCTATCCCATACCCTGGCTCTAAGTATGCAGGGAGCACCCATTACATCCACTTTATAGGTTGGTCTATCTCATACCCTGGCTCTAAGTATGCAGGGGAGCACCCATTACATCCACTTTATGGGTCGGTCTATCCCATACCCTGGCTCTAAGTATGCAGGGAGCACCCATTACATCCACTTTATAGGTTGGTCTATCTCATACCCTGGCTCTAAGTATGCAGGGGAGCACCCATTACATCCACTTTATGGGTCGGTCTATCCCATACCCTGGCTCTAAGTATGCAGGGAGCACCCATTACATCCACTTTATAGGTTGGTCTATCTCATACCCTGGCTCTAAGTATGCAGGGGAGCACCCATTACATCCACTTTATGGGTCGGTCTATCCCATACCCTGGCTCTAAGTATGCAGGGAGCACCCATTACATCCACTTTATAGGTTGGTCTATCTCATACCCTGGCTCTAAGTATGCAGGGGAGCACCCATTACATCCACTTTATGGGTCGGTCTATCCCATACCCTGGCTCTAAGTATGCAGGGAGCACCCATTACATCCACTTTATAGGTTGGTCTATCTCATACCCTGGCTCTAAGTATGCAGGGGAGCACCCATTACATCCACTTTATGGGTCGGTCTATCCCATACCCTGGCTCTAAGTATGCAGGGAGCACCCATTACATCCACTTTATAGGTTGGTCTATCTCATACCCTGGCTCTAAGTATGCAGGGGAGCACCCATTACATCCACTTTATGGGTCGGTCTATCCCATACCCTGGCTCTAAGTATGCAGGGAGCACCCATTACATCCACTTTATAGGTTGGTCTATCTCATACCCTGGCTCTAAGTATGCAGGGGAGCACCCATTACATCCACTTTATGGGTCGGTCTATCCCATACCCTGGCTCTAAGTATGCAGGGAGCACCCATTACATCCACTTTATAGGTTGGTCTATCTCATACCCTGGCTCTAAGTATGCAGGGGAGCACCCATTACATCCACTTTATGGGTCGGTCTATCCCATACCCTGGCTCTAAGTATGCAGGGAGCACCCATTACATCCACTTTATAGGTTGGTCTATCTCATACCCTGGCTCTAAGTATGCAGGGGAGCACCCATTACATCCACTTTATGGGTCGGTCTATCCCATACCCTGGCTCTAAGTATGCAGGGAGCACCCATTACATCCACTTTATAGGTTGGTCTATCTCATACCCTGGCTCTAAGTATGCAGGGGAGCACCCATTACATCCACTTTATGGGTCGGTCTATCCCATACCCTGGCTCTAAGTATGCAGGGAGCACCCATTACATCCACTTTATAGGTTGGTCTATCTCATACCCTGGCTCTAAGTATGCAGGGGAGCACCCATTACATCCACTTTATGGGTCGGTCTATCCCATACCCTGGCTCTAAGTATGCAGGGAGCACCCATTACATCCACTTTATAGGTTGGTCTATCTCATACCCTGGCTCTAAGTATGCAGGGGAGCACCCATTACATCCACTTTATGGGTCGGTCTATCCCATACCCTGGCTCTAAGTATGCAGGGAGCACCCATTACATCCACTTTATAGGTTGGTCTATCTCATACCCTGGCTCTAAGTATGCGGGGGAGCACCCATTACATCCACTTTATGGGTTGATCCTGCCCAGACCTTGCCTCTAAATATACAGAGACTGCCCAATGGTGACCGTGATCCCTGCAATGAATGCCTTTTTGAGTTTTGCATGTGCTGTACCCAGATAAGGTTGATGCTTTTATACTGGGACATGGTCCCGGACAGAACATCTTCCAGACAGAGGGCCAAAACAAAGGACTATCCTGGCAAGTTCAGAATGGTTGGCATCTATGATAAATGTATACGGGAATGAATAGGCAGAGCCAGCTGTCACTCACACAGCATTGTCGGGATCCGTCCCGGCTGCGGCGGTCTCGGTGTACTACAAGCTGTAGCTTGCGATATACTGAGCTTTGGGTCACGGGAGGACGCTAGTATATGTCCTCCCGTGACTCTAAAGAGAACTATGGGGAAATACACTCACCTAATAGTTCTCTTTTAAGACGTGACCCAAGTTGCTCCGCACTGGAACGCATGGCATTGCAGTGGAGGCGATCGAAATGTGGGTGGGCGTTGTGTTTGGTGGTACCATTCAAGTGAATGGCAATGCAGCACACCTCCCGCACCAGAATGCACGATTGCATAGTAAGGTGCGTTAATCACTGGAGGGGATCCTCAGCCTGGGGTCCAGTGTGGGCTGCTGTGCTGTGACGGAGATCCATCCATATGTGCGTTGCTTGTACAGCTCCCTTGTGTGCCCTGTAGAGGTGCTGGGAGCCAGAATGTGATGTTACTCCGGTCCAGGCACCTCTACAGGACACACAAGGGAGCTGTAAGCAATGCATGGATGGAGCTCCCTCGCGGCCATAGCCCCAGCCCACCTCAATCTGACATTTAGCACCGGGCATCATAGTTTGAATTGAAGAGAACTGACAGCGCTGCGCTAGGGGGAGACCGAGGAGCCTCTCACCTAGTGCAGTGGAAGGCATGCGGTGACCCGCTGAACACAGGGTCGTGACCCACATTTGGGTCACGACCCCCCAGTTGAGAACCAAGGGTTTAGAGGATGATGAGGGTTGTCTAGCTCACCTGGTGCTTTCTTAGTTCATCCACATATCGGCTCATATCTCCCTCTGGGTGGCCGTCTTTGTCTGGAAGGAGATGAGGATTTGTTAATGAGAGGTTATCGTGTACAGTGAATTCATTAATGACCTTCCACCCACTGAAAGGAAAAGATTAAAGCTAAAGTTCAGTCTGCTCATATCTTGCCTTCCCCGGTTCCCCTCCCTTCCCCCCATCAACAGGCTAAGTACGTTTTTAAATCAAATCTTTCTGTTTTCATTACGGGCCTTATTTTAGATCCAGTGATGTCATCACTGGGTCTCTGTGCTTTTTTTAATGCAATGCAGGCAGATCATGGCTGGTGAGAGGGGCCGGAGGGGGAAAAAAGTTTTGGGTGCTGATGGTGACGATCGTAATGTCACAGCACGGGGGGAGGGGGGTTGGGTGCTTGCTGATGGTGACGATCGTAATGTCAGCATGGGGTGCTGATGGTCACGGTCGTAATGTCAGCACGGGGGGCGGCGTTGCTGTCTTGCCTAGGGCAGCAGCATTTCTAAATACACCACTATGGGGTACTGTACATAGCTTCCTGAAAATATCACAGCACCCTGCCTAAGTACTCCTCTCAGAGGCCTTCAGCCCTGATGCAACCATTGGGCTGGATCATGGGAGGAGTTATGGCAATATCAAAACACCTTGATGGGCGGGTGGCAGTCTGGAGGAGTGGGCGTTCCCAGGCAGGCTGTCTTTGCGTGCGGGTGATGCCCATATGTTATGCTGTGCCTCCATTATTGAAAGAACTCAAATCCAATAAATGGAAGGGGTGGGCCGGGAGACAGTCAGAGTGGGGAGAAGAGGGTTATCAGATTTTTCAGCCTGATTTAAGTGTAGGTAAAGCCAAAATGTTGTGTTTAGTTTTGGATAGAGTATGCAAGGGTTAGAGCCCCTGTAAGGCTTCTGTTGCTAATCCTCCCTTGCTATTGGTCCTGGTGACCATTGTCTCCAGTATACAAGGTGATGGGGAATCCAACACAGTTCACAGACATAGGAGTCGAATCTGATAGATGGACCGAGCTCCATGGAGACATTGACAATGAAATGCTGATGCTTTGACTTATCTCCGCTGCAAGACCTGGAAGTGCCTCTAGACCTACTTTGGATTTGATGACCGGGTGACACCCCACCGTGACGTCATCGCGCATACGCGTGACGTTGCCGTGCGCGGTCGTCTTACCGTCGTCTGCCATCTTGGTGTTGGATGCCGGCAGAGAGAGGAGGGGTTGTTCACCCGGCGGGATGAGGTATGCCGCCGGGTCCCCTCCTCTCTCCTGACACTGTCGGGCTCTCGGTCCATGACTGAGTGCCCGATTTTTCATAGGGGGTGACACCAAAATGACTATCAGTCATTTTGGTGTCACCCCTCCAAAGGTGGCACCCGGGTGCGAGCCGCACCCCCCGCGTGACGCCACTGTTTGGTGGTACTGAGGGGACATAATGGTGGCATTGGGGTGATGGGGGGGGGACACACTCTGAGGACATAATGGTGGCACCGAGGGGATGTACTTTAGGTAGACATGTTACACTTACCTTCACAGGACATGGCGGTACACACCCAGTTGCCGCAGGCGCACACACAGCGGTTACACTGCACCTGGGTCTCTGCTCCATCTTCATAGGTCTCATCCTCCAGGGCGCATTCTGTGAGGCGACACCAGAGAGTCACATGCAGAGCCAGATATAACAGGTGACACAATAATATCTTGTAGTGACCCTACCTCAAGCTGGAGCGTCCCTAATCAAAATGTAGTGTTTGCACTAGGCCACACCCTGCCTGAGCATTGTTTATGTTATTTGGGTTTGGAGAGAGCTTCTAGAAATGTCCTTTCCTCCCAGGGTTTGTCCGGAGAGGATGTGTGTGTAGCAGGCTCTAGACCTTCTGCCTGGGGAAGATGTAGCTTCAGAGGAATCCAGACTTTCCCTGCCAGGCCCCTTGCATGATAGAGGAAGCTGACAAAGAGGCTTAAGGCCTCATTCACACGAGACAAAGCCGACACGTACAGCTCCGTGCTGCGTGCACGGCCGTATCGGGCAGCACCCGGGAAGGACAGGTGCTGCGTGTGATTAGTACACCGTCCTCCCCTGTCCTTCTCTATGGGAATACGCGGCCGTACACCGCCCTATGCTCACCCCAAGTGCAGGTCCGTGCGGGTACGGGTGTCCCGGCTCGGACGCAGACAGGATCCATCCTGTCAGCGTACGAGTACGCACACCCGCACGGTCGTGCAGGGCGGGTCAGCGTAGGGAGGCGTACGGCCACGTAGTCCCATAGAGAAGGACAGGGGCTGCGTACTAATCACACGCAGCACCTGTCCTTCCTGGGAGCTGCCCGATACGGCTGTGCACGCAGCACGGAGCTGTACGTGCCCGCTTTTTCTCGTGTGAATGAGGCCTAAAAGGTCCACCACTGGCATGTGAGAGAGATCCGAAGAGTGGCACCCTGATCCTAACCTGGTCTAAGGATGAAGATGCTTAAAGGTAGCCGCTTGTCTAGGCCTACACGGTTCATATTAGCCTGTGGCAGCGGCATAGAGAGTTGTACAGATGTAGGCAGAGATTATACCAAAATGTTTCATGAGCGGTGCACTTTGCTGCTGTTTTGGGGTATTTTGTACCCCTAACACTCTCTCTAAGACAGTTGAGCCAATAGATTCTGCAAAAGAAGATTGTAGGTTGGTGAGGTTGGTGAGTGTCTGGGTGCAGCTACAGGGCAAGTGACTATTAAGGAAAACAGAGGAGCCGGTTAAAATCCAGCAACTCCTTTGGGGGTCATTACTACACGGTACATCAGGAGAGAGGTGTGTGTGCGTCTCCTGGAGAGTTGGATTAAGGGCAGGTTCACACCATTTTCTGGTCCAGATCTGGTCCGGAAAATGGTGTGAACCTGCCCTCAGTCCCAGTGTATTCCAGACCAGACAAAATGAGACATGCAGTATTTTTCTGGTCTGGTCTGGAACGGACTGCTCTGGTGGGAAAAGAGGCCAGAAGTAGCAAAGGGGTACATTAGGATGCATTTTCGGTCCGGAAACAATCTGGTCTGGTCATGATCTGGATGTGGTGTGAATGGACCCTTAGGCAGAATGGGTCCCTAGGAAAGAAGCAACGTCGTTCTCCCACATTGATAAGGATTACAATAGGCACCCCCCAAGAAGCCGCCCCATTTGCATTTTCTGTCCTGGCATGGCTCCATCAGATACTAGCTGCCTACAAGTCGATCCTCCCCTGTGAAGTGAATGGCAGGTACACAGCTTTGACCAGTTGTGCTGTCCCCTTGTTTACTGCAGCATGTAGCTTGTATAGCTGGGGCCCTTCAACATCTACTGGGCCCTAGGCTATGGCCTCTGGTGTCATATTTATCATTATGGAGAAGAGGTAGGAAGGCGTCTGGTAACATTATTACACAACATTTCCGGCTACATACTTTTCTCCGGAGGGTTGTAGCTAGGGTTCAGGCACTTCAGGAACTCGTTAAAGCTCAACTTCCAGTCTGCATTCTCATCCGACAGTTCAATGAGAGCCTCCACGCACAGGCCCCTGAGAGACAACAAAACGGGTCAGTACAAGTCCACTAGATAGACTGACTAACTAATACAAGTGTAAAAAATAAGCAAATAAGACACAATACAAATCACACACAAAAACACAAATAGATGGATTACAGGGTCAGTACCCATCATCTGGGCAGTTACTCTCCTATCGATCCCAGCTCGCTCCTAGGCTGTTCCTTCCAGCCTGTCTCCAACACCGCTCCAGCGATGGTATGTCACTCGGCGTCCTCATGGTCTATACACTGTGTAGAATGTGATGACAAACAGGACCTTAGACTGCTGGAACAGAGGGGGAGCGAGGCTGAAGGGACCGATAAAAGAGCAAGCCCGGGATCGTGGTTCGGGTGAGTAAGACTTTGTTATTCTAGACAAAACAAGCACTTAACCCTTGCAGTGTGGGGGTAACCCCACTGCAAGGGTTAAGATTTGATTTGCCCGCAGTTCTGCGTTAAGGGTCAATCATGGCTACCATGGTCTCGTATCACCCTGAGAAGCCTTAATCTTAGACCTACATGTCACGGGTTGCATTAAGGTAGCTCGTTAGGATGGACTGCCATGGCAGGGCAATAAAACTGGACCTGCAGCATATTGTTACCGCAGTGCACTACAACACGTGGTATGTGAGTTTGTGGTGCGCTGCAGCGCAGGGTCCATTGGCACTTACTGTGCTATGTGTTGGGGTACGGTTCTAAATGAATGGCACCATCTAAAGTGCAGTAACATGGTAAAACTGAACCACATAGGTCCAAAGGGGCCCCTAAAGGATATAACTGGGTGTCAGTAAAATAGCAAGAAACTGGAATTAAAAAATAAATGAAAAAGGCCGCAATATGAAGCCATGTAGTCCCTGTCACTTTATACCGGCCCCATGGTAGAACTGTTGCATAATAAGTTTATATCTGTATCAAATTCTCACTTCAGAATCTTGTTGGTCTCCTGGTCCTGGTAGGTGGTGATGTTAATGGCGGTCTGGTTCAGTTCCAGGAACTTCAGGAATTCAGAAGAGTCCATGCGGGAGTCGCCATCATCGTAGCTCTGTAGTAGCGGAGATATGACAAATGTCATGTTATTCTAATGGTTCCATATTGCCTCTTGGCAGCTTTACAATCTCCTATATCACGCTGTAACAATACTTTGCTGTCTGTGCCTCATTGGGGCCACTTCCTGCTTGAGAAACACAATAGGAAGTTAGAGAAAATCTGCACTGCTGG